ACTGTCCATAGACTTCCTTCCGCAACCAAGTGCCATTGTCTGGTACTTGTCCAAATTTCCCTTTAGTAAATTAGCTCTGTACCATGAAGATGCTGACTCAGCGCAAACAGCAAGATCATCATGCACATCAGAGAGGGTGCTGCGAACGACATAAAACTGGTGGTCATCTGCATACATATTCATGTTCGCATCAACAGTATAAGTCAAATCGTTTTGGAAGATGTTCCAGATGAGAGGTCCAAATGCAGAACCCTGTGGGCATCCCCTGGTCACCCTCTGCCACTCGCTCACTACAGATCCTAGCTTGACCCTGTTATAACGGTCTGTGAAGTAGGAGCCCATCAATCGCAGACTTCTTTCCTCAACACCATAAGCTTTAAGTTTTGCAAGTGTAAGTGGATGGTAAAGTGAATCGAAGGCTTTGCTCATGTCCGTGGAGAGAACACCCACAACGTTATGCTCATCCAGAGCGAATTTAAAGAAAAGAACGGCTGGTGTTTTTACATTTCAATTCGCGGTAAATAGTAAGACAAAATTCGCTTACGAAAGTGTAGGTATTCATGATCAAAGCCGAAAACTTTGCATTTGCGTGTTATTTGATCGTAACGAGAAACTAAGTAAGCTTTTCAAAGAAGTAAACGACGGTACTCTACATTATACTGCGAGCAGGTGCTTCTTTCTGGCATGGCCTTTACCATTTGCAAAGTCGTTCGCGTGGCTTGTTAGTCCCGCAGTTGTTTACGCAAACGACTTCGCAGATGCTAAAAGCTATGCCAGAAAGAAACCTCTTGCTCGCAGGGTACTCTACATGCCCAAAATTTTGGTTACTAACAACTCACGGGAGAACATTCTTGATACAATATATAACGCCTGTTTATTGTTAATGGAAACAGGAACAAAGATACTTTTGCCATCCGCTTTACTTGTTACATCGTAAAGTTGTATACAATGTATGAAACATTGCCCTGCGAATATCCCTCATACGATAACAATAAATAATTGGATTTAGAGTAGAGTTTATGTTTACAATTGTCAGTGCAAAGTTAATTGCAGTCCAATTCTCTTTTGTGTATCCAGTGATTTTACCCAAGGCGAGGCAGACCAAGTAAGGCGCGTAACAGCAAATAAGCACACAGTAAACCAGAAACATGTTATACGCGGATTTTTTGCGGTGACCAAAGTGGTTAGAGACCTCCCTTTGCCTTACGTCGTTTGCTTCTATTTGTTTGAGATGAGAACGAACGATGCGGTGTATCTTTACGTAAGCCACTGTGGAAATCAGCAAACAAAGTGCAATTCCGACCACGAAATAATGCGATTTATATTCAGGAACAAAGAAAACCAAGATTATAGGGGACAGACCACCTAGAAGCCACAAAACGACGAGAAAACGTCGAACACGCTTCACTGTGAAAATCTCGTCGTAGCGCAGATGGAGGTGAAGTGAAAGGTAGCGTTCAACGCTTATTGCTGTTACCGTTCCAAAAGATACACACGAAAGACAAGAAGCAGTTAAATTCAACCCAACCGCACAAATACAAGTAAATTTATCGGCACCGTGGAAAGCAAATGAGAACAAATAAGCAATGAAGAAAGGCTGTACGACCAAACCAACGCCTAAATCTGACAATGCTAATCCAATTAACAGCATGTTCGCGGGTGTACGAAGCTGATACGACCGCCATATTGAAATTATAACAAGAACATTGGCCAGTGTTGTGATAATGCAAAACGGAACGTTAAGAATGGCGTCTATGATGAATCCTGTTTTAAAAGGATCGTTTCCTGCTGTTGACATGTAATGGTAACCCTTAAAGCGGTTACAGAATTTGTCCGCAGAATGAGCAAGTGAAATCTTTTCCATATCGAAGTCCTAACGAGCAGTAGATCCTCCTTCACTAAGTAAAACAACTCGAAAGAGCAATATTTGACCACTGCCCCGGGGTGCGGCTTTTGGTTTCCATGTCATGCTGTTTGCGTACGTTGTTTGACAACGGAAATGTTATTAACAAGGGTGACAATGAAATACTAGCACCAAAATGGAAGTCATTGTCATAGTTTAAGCATTTTCTTGATCATCTGGATTTAAGTGACAATTTTATACCTATAAAACATTTCTTGCACCTTATATAGCCAACAAACCCACGCAAAACGTTTATTAAAGGTAGAAAGATTGGGCACAAAACTTGACCTCTTTGAAAAACATTCTTCACTTAAATATCTTAGAATCCATAACTTCATTGAACTAAATAAAGATATATGACGATGCGTTTTTCTTAGACGTGCTCCTAGTTTCACAAAATTAAACCCCTTGAAAAAGTACTTGGCTACAGCAACTCTCGTGATACACTCTTTTTTTTTATAAGAATATATTTTATAAGAATATCGAGGCTGAAATTTGCGAAATTTTAAGAATATTTTAAGAATAAAGCCGAGGCTGAGTGAGATTTTGAAAAGGATAGATATAATTTTGTGTGTTGAAACATCTGTAAATACAATAAAATTTCATGTTTTTAACTTAACCGTATAAAATTATTCCTTTCTCATAACGGCGAAACTAGCCAACAAAACGAAAAAACCTGCACTAGCTATAGCAAAATGTTCAACGCTAATGACAGTTCGATGAACGGTACATGTAATACATATGTACAGTATTCAGCAGAGATCTAGATACCAAACACTTGTAATTGATACCCCAATAAATTCTAAAACGAAAATGTCATAAGCTATAATTTAAGAATAATACAAGAATATTTTCAGCCTAAAATCGGCAGAAAAATAAGAATATTCAGCCTGGGCCGGAAAAACAACATTCTTATAAAAAAAAGAGTGTATTTACTGTCGTCTGATGCCAAAGTTCCCGCGAGGCTGGACGTGTAAAATGTATTGTCTGTTTTATTTTTTCACGCTAAAAGGCAAACTCATATCATAATCAATGCGAGTTTTGTCAGCTGCGTGTTTTAATTTGCATTTTTGCCCTTTTTTTTTTCTATGAAGCAGAATTCAACGTCTTTTTATTTGGAGGAAAGGTTAGACAAATTTTTCGTCGAAAATATAGAACTTCGAGACTCTCGAAACATAACAAGGGACCACTAAGCTTTAGGGGTCGTAGCAAAAATTTGTTTTCATTAATGTAACATCCTCGCTTCTCGGGTGAATTTAAACTACATCGATAGGAATTTATCCCAAATATTAAAACAAGATGATATTAATTTAATTAATTCTTTGTTTATAAGATACGAAGCAGATTTCATAATAATTCATGATCCATTCGTTAACAGATAGTTACTTAGTATTTGGGCCTTACTAGGAAAATTATTTCAATTTTGTTTTATGATTTGCAGCAGTATTAAAATTGAAACAGAAAATGAATTTCTTCTTCGATTTGATAACATCCACAATCCTGGCAAACTCTATTGATTCTTTATATTTGGTTTTGTATCCGCCAATCTCGATCATGAGACAGTTGTGGTTACTCAACTGTATCTCAGGTGTTTTTCTTTTAAGGAGAAATATTTTGAAGTGGCGTATTCATCTCTATTTTCGTTTTCTTAATGATAATCGTACTTGTAAACAAATACGAACCAAGCTTTGTAATCGACTGACATGCACCCATCCAAACCTCTTACTTCATTGGTCCCTATAACCTGCACTATCTATTGTTTTCAGGGATAGGGGCATTGTTATGTCGCCATCCCTATTGTTTTCCCAGCCAATCACAAACCTTGCTTGGAATAGGTACAGGTCGGCCCTTTTAATTATTACTTTTAAGACCATACATGGCATGTCACCTAGCTACATTTTAGTGATTTAGTTAGCATGGGTCCTGTTCTGAATATTCATTAAAATCGAATAAAAGCATTGTCTTAGAACGTCTTAAGGGGCGCATACTTGAAACCTTAGACGCTTGATCGTTTTCCGCTGCCGTCCCTATACAGGTACTATACAGGGCCAAATAAGACTGAAATTGTTCTTTATTTGGGTGTATCTTGGCTACGAAGCACTGACACAAAACTCTTGAATTTTTTTTCCTACCATGGCCCGTCATACAGGATAGCAACTTATTTCTAATGTGAGCAATGCTTTAGTTTTGAGCTGAAAACGTCGCCTTCGATGGTGCATCAGCCACTTTGGATTAAACAGAGAGTAACCTGTAAGTTCGGTAGAAAGTCCTATGACCACCTACCCCTCCCCTAAGTCACAATTTCGCCCTGAGTGAGAACTAAGTGTTAGTATTGACTTAGCGGGGGAGGGGGGGAGGTGGTCAGTTAACCATTATTACGGCTACAGGATTAAACTAAATTCGGTATAATAAACAAGAAGAGAAAGAAGGCCTTTCTTTCTCAACTACCACAGTCATTCTGGGTTTTATTTTTTTCTATAAATTAGACCCATGATCACTATGTTAACTCTCACTTAGATATGAATAGACCTCTTTAGCTTGTATGTTATAATTTCTAAATGAAGTTAATGCTTTGTCTTTTCATAAATTATGCATACATATGCACCTAAATAAGACAAAGGGTTGACAAAGGGTGGATTCATTTGCAACATACGCGAAAATATCTGTCGCATTTCCCCGATGGAATTTTTCATTGTTTTTCACCAAAAGTTTAAAAGAAACAGTTCCCTGAAGTATTATTACATGACCTTCATTAGAACATAATTAATAGAGGTGACTGGTTAGGAAAGCCGGCAAACATCAAAGTTGAAAACAACGGTGTTGTAGTTTATGTTCAGGGAAGCTCCCTGACCGTACACAAACCATTGTTTTTTGCTCACAAATTGTGACTGAATAAATTATTGCGATGATTCTATTGGTCAGTAAGTTCAAAATGATTAGAATGCTATTGAACGTTGTGTACGGTCAGGTCCAAAAGAGCTAACAAAAACATATAACAAAGGAGTCTAACGGGTTTCATAACCATTCAACTTTAATAAGTATGATTGGAAAAACAAAACAAACACGCTCAAGAGGTCTACTGGCCATTCTGACGTTAGCGCGAGATTGCGCGAGACTGAGTTGATGTTGTTTAAAACTGCACTATGGGAACGAAGGTTGTACGGGAAACTGGGTTACAATTTCTTCCCTAAAACATGATAGTCCTTTTGTGCAGTTGACCAAAGCGGAAAATACCATTACATTCTTTACATTCCCGTTTGGGAGGCGCTTCATGTAAACCCCACTTTTGCAATGTCTTTTGTTCTCTGCACGATTCGCACCTGCAATGCATCAGCTCCTTGTAAATTTACATAAACTGTACGTGCAATTTGTGGAAAAAAACAAACTGGCAAACAAAAAATACTGCAAAAGTAAGGCTTGCATGAAGCCCCACCCCAAACGGCAGTTTAAAGAATACTACGGTATTTTCCGCTCAGGAAACACCTACTAAGTAGCTAGCGCTCCCTTGAAATTGGCTTGGGTAAAACAGGAACATTTTGAACCTTACTGAACGGAAACCAGTTCACAATTAATTACGTCTCCAAACAACGGAGAATCTGACAAACCGGAGAATGAGTATATAAACAATGAACGAATCACTATGTTATTTTTTGCCGCCGCGGTATCCCCTTGACTTCCCACTATATTTTTTCCTACGGCCACGTCCGTAAACTTTATTATACGATCCTCTATAATGTCCCTTTTTATTAGAACCTCCACCGGAACTTCCGTACTCCCCACGGTTATCGTATTGTCCATAACCCCTACGGGTATCCGACCCTTTATATCGTTCTTGATTTCCCCGCCTCCTGCCGCTCTTCTCCTTTTTGAGGTGTTCAAACTGATTCTGAAAGTCCACGCCACTGGTACAATTTTCTGTAAACTGGAAGCACTTGATTGGTGAATCACTAACAGCGTCCCAGTCAAAATCATCATTATCGTCGACCTCACTGCATTCTGCTCCGGAACTTTGTAAGGGGACAACCAAGTCTCTCTTTTCTTGTCTACCAACCCTTAAAATGTGGTACAGTAACTGCTTTATAAGGTAGTTGAGTTGATAAGAAAGATAGAGGTATACATTTTTATCTAAGTCGCGGGTTACAATCACACAAAGTTAGCCAATATTTCCCCAACTTAATATTGCAAATAAAATAAGATTATTTTTAAAAACTTTGAAACAAATAGAATCATGTAAAAGTACTGTCGAGTCATTGTTGCAGAAATGGTCCCACCACAAGGGTTTCATCCACAGAATCATGAGAAATATACCCTGGGTACCAGAGGTTTTTTCTCGGGTGCGATGAGGAGCTTCGTCAGCTGCAGGCCGACTCGTGTCCGGCCGAAGGCCGAAGACACGAGAGGTCACTTTATAAGACCTAAAGGAAACCGAAAACCGCGCATGAAAAGCCTCTGGCACCCAGGGTATCAGAACTACATACCAAGTAAATAGTACCAATTGAAAGTACAGCTTTCATTCACCCGAATTTTTTTCTTGCTTGTATTTTCCTTTGAATCTCTCTGATGAAGGAATAGCGCTCGAGATAATACCGTCTGTGTCTTTTTAATAAAAAGGTGGTAAATTGATGCTTGATTCAATCCTATCAATTGATTAAACCCAATTTTTGTGTTTTATTCCACTCCGACGTGGCACTCACAGTTTGTTTCAAACAACTGCTGACTGGAAGTAATGAAGGTGGAAAGAGGGGCACTTTGGGCATTAAATTAAACAAGTTAAATTAAAGTATATTCACCTTCTGTGGTCACTCCTGCCGCCTTCTCTACTTGGGTCTTTCGCCGTAACAACTGAAACAAAACAACAAAAGGCAAGAGCTGAAAAATAGAACTGAGACGTGGATGGACATAGACAACACTCAAAATCAGAGAATCGGACAGAAACACACTCAGGCCCCGTCCACACGTATCCGGATATGATATTTTTGAAAAAAGGGAATTTTTCCTCTGTTTAACATATACCTCAACACGTAAAAGGCATTTCTGGGCACCAAAAAGGGTTTTTAGGCCCCGTCAACAAAGAATGAGTTTAGCTCATTCTCTCTTGGCCGCATCCCGATATTTTTGAAAACGATAATGGTTTGGAGAAACATATTACATGTAAAAATAACGAAATAATGTTTGGATATTTCGGGACTTCATGACGCCACTATCCAGGAATGGAAATAAATGCGAGTTCAAAAGTAGTACTCTAAATTTGCATAAATGAAAAATAAAGCTAGACAAAGACTTGAGCATAGAGAATTTTTTCTTGGTTTAGAGACAATGTTGTTCTCGTAGTCGTCCTGGTTTCAGAATCTAAACGTCGCAGACTAATGCAGACGCCAGGGCCAAATGTTTCCAAACGTCCGAAACTTTGAGCAGAATATATCTAAACACCGATGGTGACCTAGACCATCGTAGGCCCTCAGTGAACATATTGATGTCACTTTCGATGTTGTCGCCGTCATTGTTGCTACAGCTCCCTAATTATCAAGGTGCTAAGTTAAAGTATTGGGGAGTTTAAGCAACGATGACGGCGACGTCAACGAGAGCGGCAAAAAACAAAAGATTTAGATAAACAAAACAACAACTTTGCACGTGCATCACGCTTTTTTACATTTCTTTGCCGTCACCGCACGACTACAACGTGAAACTGCCTAATTTCACGTTTTGTGGAGGACGTGAACACAGGACAACGACTCCCTTTTTCTTTTCTTACTTCGAGAGCGGGAATGCCGAGCGACTATGGAAAAGAAACACGAGTAAGGTGAACCAACCTTCCACCTTTCGAGGAGCACCCCCCGTCCTCTTCCTCTCCTCCAGCTCCTCTTCAGCATGTTTCTCATAAATCTCCTTGGGAATTCTCTCCTCACACATGGCACAAAGAATTGTTGACTCATCGCTGTCTTCGCTATCAGAATCTCTCAGCCGCCGAGACTTTCTGGGTTTGGAGCTTTTTGATGACGAGAGCGGTCGCTTCTTCTTCCATCCACCAAGCTGCTCGAGTGCCAGTTCGTTGTCGTCTGTTTCTTGTTTTTCTTCTTTCCTGGATCCTGTTCTCTGTCGCCGGGACACGCGTTGTGCTCCATACTGCACCATAAGCGCATCGTCATCGTCGTCAGATGAGCTGCTACACGATTCTATTTCGTCCGTTCTTGTTTGGTTTTCTTCGTGTGATTTGGAAGAACTGCTCTTAATTATTCTATCATCGTCACTTTGTCTGGACGTTTCGAGGGGAATGTAGTCAACATACGGTTTTGAGGTATTTCCTTAAGAAACGGATGAAAGAACGTGGTTTGCTTGATGATTTACTAGTATATAACTCAGGGGCGGATCTAGGGGGAGGGTGCAGGGGGTGCGCACCCACCCTCGCCCTGAGATGACCTGCGGTTTTTTAATACAACTGGTATTCTGCAAAAAAAAAACTATGTGGTTTATTGGTGTTGAAGTAGAGCAAGAGACGAGTGCACCCCCTCCTATAAAAAATCCTGGATCCGCCCCTGTAACTAACAAGAAAGAGCTTTCGAGTAGAGAGCACAAGCCACAAACGATGCAACAAGGCTCATTCTAAGATTACACCACGGAAAGCTTGCAAATACGAAAAATTTATGCTTAAAAGATTTTCAAGGGATAATCTGGGTTCCCTGCTTTGATAGTTTTCTAGTTTATCTGGGAACATAACATAACTTTTTCATCAGTGTTTATTACTTAAACTTTTTATCCCAAGTTTTTCCAGTCAATCAATTAAACAATCCAATAGGTGGTCCACCAAATCGGTATGATGCATATGATCAATAAATTCCTTTTACCTGCATATGTCCTCTGGGGCCTCTTTTTCTCGGGACTGAATAGAATGAAAACAACAAAAAAGAACAATTAATGAACAGCTCTATCTACTTGACAGGATCGGGATGGGGTGTCCTTATCACTCATTTCCGCTCCCTTTTTCACGACAATCCCGCATTCTCGAACTTCTACCATTTCTATCCTGAATATCGTTTTCTTTCCCAGTCCGCATCCCAGGCCAAGGTTTTGGTGAATCCCGCTTCCGGAGCAGCTGTCAAATCCCTCTGAGTCAGTTCCTTTGGCATACGAATTTTTTAAAATAGAATTCTGAAAGTAGATTATCATTTTTGGGGAAAAAATGTTGTTTGTACTAATCGCTAACCTTCTCACTCCCTTAAGGGCTTCCGGTCCAAAAAGATAGCATATTCAAGACACTAAATGGTGAAATAGGAAACCTTGAGATTCAAGACCCTGAAAACCAGACCCTGTTCAGCTGCACATACCCGATTAGCCAAAGAGTCCCCCGAACAACTGTGACACACATCTGCTTACTTTCTGACATGGAAATCCATGATAACAAAGCATGACCATACTTCGAGAGTTCTTCGTCCACTTTAACGAAGGGTATTTCTCGAAACGTCAGCTTTGAATCTGTAAGGTGATACATTGATTTTCTGAATTCGGTTGATAAAACTAAAATTTTTTGGCACTTCGGACCGGTTGTGTCCAACGGCTAGTGAATAAACGGCACCTTTCTGAAGAGTCGTGTACATAAAAATATTGAGATACACCAATCTGAAGAATCGTGTAGATAAGAATGGTGAGGCTGTTTACAAATAGGCAAGTTCCCAATCAATAAAAAAGTGACCATCGTGAGACAAACGATAAACAAACAACTGAATAACTATAAAAAAATAATTTTTATAACACCAACAATAAATTTGGTGACTGAGTAGTCAATAACTGAGCATAACCTTTGACCAATAATAAAAAATATAATTCTATCTATGAATTGAGGTATCCAATTCTTTGCCTTTTTTAAATATATAAAATGTGGAACCAACCCTTTAAATCATTATATATTAGAAAAACAGATAACAAAAATACTCATCTATTAACCTAGTTGTGCAAAGAAGAAAAATGTTTTCAAGCAATGCAAATGATCAGGGGAACTTTGAAATAAAATTGTCTAAATAAGATAATAGGATTCCTTTCTTCAACAGAAAAGCGATGAAAGGAATCCTGGAGTTTCCTTCTGTAATAATTTGTTCAAAAAGAGAAAAAGCCTGCCTAATATAAGTGCCATTTCAGGCTGTGCGTCAGATCAGGTCGGGGTGTGTATCGAACTGCACTATGGGATTGTTTTAGGGACGACATGGCTCCTTTTATCAGGGAGCTTTGGCAACGACGACGACGACGGTAGCGCAAACAACACCGTTAAAATGAATTCGCGTTTTCTCAAACTTTGTCAGGTTTATTCCAACTCAATTAAAATGTCAAATGTAGGCAGATTTCTCTGGAGTCAAATTCTTGTGGGGCGCACCCAAGTTTAGACAGAAAAAGAAAACTGTTGCCGTCGTGTGTTTATTCTCATAGAACGTCGCATAAGGAAATTTCACGTTGTGGTCGTGTAGTGACGGCAAAGAAATGTACCAAAACGTGTGCTGCACGTGCAAAGTTGTTGCTTTGCATAATAAACCTATTGCGTCTTTGAAGTTCTCGTTGCCGTCGCCGTCCTCGTCACTAAAGCTCCTTATTCGCTGTTATTGAGGTCTAAATTGGTCCCATAATGCAATTCAACACATTAAGTTTGCAAAAAAGGGGTTTCTGTCAGAAAGCATGGTAGTCTCCTCCGCGCATGCGTTACTCCGGCCCCAGCGGAGGCGCATGAGACTAAAATTCTGATTTGTATCATTAGGGACCGTAAGCAACAATGACGGCGACGGCTACGAAAAGGTCACTTAAAAACTCAAGTCGCGCTGCTTCAAACTTTATCGCGCTTATTTTATCTCGCTCAGTTCGTCAAATGTTGTCAAATTTTTTTGGAGTTAAATTGTACAAGGCTCTATCGAAGCTCAGGAAAAGAGAAAAAAAGGTCGTGAAGGTTCACGTCCGATACAAAATGTAAAATAAGGACGTTTCAAGTCGTAGTCGTGCAGTGACGGCAAAGAAATGTACAAAAAGGGGGTTGCACGTGCAAAGTTGTAGTTTTGCTAATCTAAATCTACTGCTTTTTTGACGTTCTCGTTGCCCTCGTCGTTGCTTTACCTCTCTATTCTCTTACACACGCCCCTGCACAAGGGTTTTTCTATAAACTTTAGCCTCACTTGCAGTGAGGGTGGGCGATGGTATGTCCTAACAGGTCTAGCTGCGAGGAAGCTCTCCGGGCGCTCTGGCGGCGGGGCGGGAAAAGGAAGGACAGCTTGCAACTGCCTCTCTGGAATTTGAATTCCACCTCCAATTCCCCTGTGGCTCCCCGTCGAGCTGTCAGAATTCCACCAATCAGCGCGAAGCGGATACGAGCGCGAATGTAAACAAACATTGAAAAACACGTGCCAAGGTTAATGACGTCATTACTAATGTCATCTCCGCCAATTAGCATTTCGCATCGACTTTTCCGATGCAGATATTCAAATCCCAGAGAGGCAGCTTTTCCCTCCCCACCGCCAGAGCGTCCCGGAGAGCTTGTTTGCAGGTTAACAGGTCCTCTATTTTACTCATACGTCATCTATCGTAACGTTAAGGGATCAGTAGGGAAGGATTAAACTATTATAAGTGTTTAGACGTCTCTATTATTCAACTAATACTATAATCCCCACTAGCAACTATCATAGTCAAGCCGTCTTTTCTCTGCTCCCTAGAAAGGAAAAGTAGCACCCATTTCATTGCGACCAACATAGTACTTTATGGTCATAATTATATTACAGCTAAAAGTAGAAAGAAAAAAACTGATAAAGACCTTGATGAATCAAGCCAGCTGCAGACCTCCTCATCTACTTCTCTCTCATATCCACTCCGTTCACTCTCTGATTCTGTTCTTACGGCTGCTCTTGTTGTCCTGGTATGTTTTCTCGACCCCTCAGCAGAACTCTGATGAAAACCTTTAAACTTTCCTATTTTTCCAGTCTGTCCAGAAGGAGAAACGTTCTTTTCAAAATCAAGATTTTTCTTGCCTGATTCTGGTGGTTGGTTGGCTTTTTCAAGGATCTTCCTTTCAGCCAATGGAGACCGTCGAAGGAAAACTTTCAGGTTTTTTAACTGGCCTCGTTCACCAGATAAAGTTTGGTAAATTGCACGGGGACCAGGACTGAAAAAGAGCAGCCTAAGTTCAGAATGGTTACACTTTGATCTACTTGAATGAGCAAATTTCTTGTTGATTTAATGAAAACTTGCTCATTCAAGTTCAATACGTTAAATAAACTCACTTATTAGCTATTTTCAAAAATGACTGACAGCTTACTACTGGTTACCCCTTCAAGCTTCAATATCCACATACAAATTCTCCATACTGGTTTCCATACATTACCTTGAAGAACTAGTTGAGAGAATTTGTTTCACTTACTCTCATGTATTATTCTCATTGTATTATTGATAGACATCTGTTGGAAAATTTGAATTTGCTCAAGCCCTTTTACTCCCAAAAGGACCGGAACCAACAATCAGTATTTGCAAATTTTGCAATCTAGTTTCCAAATAGAGCAAATCAAATGTTACCGAGCTAAAGAACAGTTTTGTACATTATAAGATGACACTACAACGTTACAAAGCATACTCAACAAATACGGCCATGTAAAAGAACAGATAAAGAGTTTTCATCTGAATGATCAGAGTTTGTCTAAAGTTAGATGTACCTTACATGTTAGGCTCGATTACCAGCCGCTGTTCGGGAAAATGAGCCCGGACCCGGAAGACGGCGGAAATCGAGCCTACTTACATGTCAGCTTCGTAGCTGAGTTTGGGAGAGAAAGGGTTTTTAGACACAATTATAGTTAACAGCTTAGGCTAGGAGGAACTTTAGCTACACTTGCATCCACAATTAAGAGAGGACATCAAAGCAGGAGTAACACATTGCTTTACAGCACTCTCAGTATCTGCTTACTTCCCTGCTTTGTAGAGATTAAAACATTCAGTATACAATGGGCAGAATTCATTGCTTCCATGTGTTTTCCAGTCTGATTTGCATCCACATGGCAAACAGTACAAAATATCCAGACATTCACCTTGTCACACCTGACGTACCAGCCATCTCCCTCTGGGTTCGTGAATATGATGCCTGGCGGGGAGGTGACGGTGGGCCTTGACAGTCTGATGCATGTGCTTGTATCTCAGATGAAGAGAAATGACGATAGCAAAGAGGACACTCAACAGTCGATTCCTTGTGTGCATCACCTTTGTTCACAGAGGAGGCAGCAAAAGAGCTAAAACATGACATGACAATATGATTCAATAATGACACTAATAAAAAACTCATGTTTTTCCTTCCCTCAACAGTGGCTTGCTAAAGCATTGATCCATGCCTTGTCTGATTTGTCTCATAATACTTCAAATTACTGACCCCCTCCCCCCCCCCCTTCACCACCCTGCCTCCTCTTACAGACTTATATATAACCCTGGTGGTGCAGCAACTTATAGCCATCAATTATTGCCTTAATTTTCCAAAGGTGGTGAGCACCAGCTGGTTATGAAGAATTAAATGGGGGGATTGGAGCCAATCAGAAATGACAAAATATTTTGAATGAATAATAACAGTGATTAGAAAACTATCACAGACAAATAATTTATTTAAACATCAAACAATAACAATGCTCAATAATGACCTTGATGACAGGGTATCTCTTGGTGGTTGTCCTCTGGTCAACAGCCGCTGTCTTCTTTCTGCTGCTGCAGCTGCTTTATCTGCTGCCTCAGAACGTTTTTGTCGTGCATTCTGGCTATCTTCACTGTCCAAATCAATGGTGAGACTGTCACCTTCCCTCTTAACTGTCCTTTTTGTGGCTGATGTAAACCCTTCTGTCGAACTGTTATTGGAGAGTAACTCTGGCTCCAAAACACCTTGATTTTCAGTGGTTAAGGTGTCAAGAATACTTTTTCCAAGGTTCTCTTGAGATCCACTTTGTGTCAGTATCGACTGAGAGTCTGGTAGGGCAACATTGTCAGCATCTACAACAGACTCTCCTAATTTACTGCCCTTCTCTTCCTTTGATGAAGAACCATCAACATCAACTGAAGTGTCTCCTTTTGTACGATGAAGAGAAACAATTATTGGCTGAGACATGTCTCTTTCATCATCAGTTGAATCATCATCTAAAGGACGCAGGATACTTCTGCGTTTTGAAGGCTGAATGTTGTCTGCTTGGTTTTCATCAACTTCCATGGAGATCGCATTACCTTTGCTTGTCTGATTGTCCGGCTGATTTACCTCTTTTGTTCCTTCCTTTTTATCTTTGACTTTACTTTCACTTGTTTTGAAATCTTTTTTTGCATTATTATCTTTCCCAGGTGATTTAACTGAGGCACCAAATGTATTGGACTGTAGTTCACTTGTGTTAGCATCCAAAATAACACCAGTGCCAAATAAGACATCTGAATTACCATTTTGCAGAGATATGTTGGTATCTCCAGTTTTAATTGGAGCATGCCATTTTGTTGTTTTGCCATCATTTGTAAGTCCCATGTTAGACTTACTTGACACTTCCTTTTTAACATATGATCTTTCATCATCTTTAGGTCGTAAATTTTGTGGATCTGCAGACACACTAGCAGAACTACTTTCATTTTTTGTTACATGACTGGCTTTCTTACTTGACGTAATAACCGAAGGTTTTGGTCGCACATCATCCAAATAAGCTTTCAGAAATTCATCACCATCACTGTCACTGTCTACTTTATAGGATGTTTCATGTGTGGTCGTGCTAGTCGATGTACTGGTAGCTGCTTGAGTAGTCAGTTTTGCAGAACTTCTCAAAGTTCTTCTCTTATAGGAAACATCTGAATCTGAGTTATTTTTAACGCTTGTGCCAGTTGCTGCAGAAAATGAAAAGAAAAAATTATATGTGTCTCTGTCAAGAATCTTAAAGATTACATTTTTATTCAAAGTATGGAACGTTAACCCTTTCACACCCAGAGTTACCTATCCCTAGCCCTCATTATTCCATGCAGCCAAGGCGTTCGGGTCACATGATCCAAGCGCGCCTCGGATACATCACCAAAGTGAATTGACCGAGAGGGCCTGGGAAAATGTTGTACAGGGACTGAGCAGACCCAGAGTGAAAGATGAGGTCTTGTAAGGTGGCTCTAAGGCCCAGTTCAAATATGAACTTTTCATGTATTAAGATTATGTTTGAATCAGTTAAGTCCAACATAGCTAATTTGGGTCGACTTGTGAAATAAGTTTAACTGGCCTACATGAGAATTTCAACTGTGGAGTGACTTTGCTTTCTATGTCAAACTTTTCATGTGCAGAATCTATTGCATAAAGTACCAGTTTGTATATAGGTCTTCACAACCATTTTTCAGTAAATGGAACTGATTTTCACAAATGTAAACACAATTCTGGGACGATATTTACCAGTCCTGAATTTCACTTACCATTGACCCAAACCGTGAACCGACATGTTTGCTCATGTAAAAGGTTGACAATCATTGTGTATGAATTGTAGTAAAACTAAACTTACCATCTTGTGGTATTCCTCTGAGGAAAGAAACAACAGAAGCTTTTCCAGGCATTCGCAGTTCTAAAGTTTTAGAGTTACTACCAGCTACTACAGGATGTCCCCAGGGGAGACGAACTTTAACCTTGGATTGTGCAATATGCAATTGTTTCCTGTACCTATCTAACATTCTGATTATCAGCTTAGTGTATGATGGAATGTTAAATCCTGGGGGCGCAATATAAACCTCTGCCTTCATGATTTCTTTCAAAGTTGTAGGTCTATACTTTGGTTTCTTGTACTCTCTTGAAAAGCGAACACTGGGAGGCTGTGCACTGGAAAGTGAAGAGTTCTGTTTTTCCTTTGAAGAAATACTCTCGTCCTTCCTTGTTTTCTCCTTATCAAAATCACCACCAGCAACTCTCTTGGGTATTGGATCACTCAGTTTATCAGAGGCTCTTTTTGAACCTCTCTTGGCCACATCTTTAACATCCTCAGAGTCACTATCCTCCAAAAATTGTGTTAATTTCTGGCGCTTCAGAGAGACTCTCTTTTTTAAACAAAGAATAGGGTCTTCATCATCTGTTACATCATCATCATCATCATTTATAACTGATTGCAGTGTACGCTTCTCTCCATGTAAAACATTTTTGTCAACCTCCAAATTTTCATTTTGAGGTTTCTTCTTGTCATTTTCTAACACAGTCACTTTTGCATCATCATCATCACCATCATCATCATCTCCACCAATTTTCTCTCTCTTATTTACCACACTAGATTCTTCCTGTCTGGTTCTTCTCAACTTGAACTTTCTTTTGGTGTCCTTTTCCTGCCTGCAATTGGAAATAAGGTTTTGAGTAGTTAACTAGAGATATATACTGAGTATAGTTAAGTAATAGTCAAGCCAAGGGCCCTCACTTTAAGAAGAGATACATAATTCATGGAAAGTCATCAGTGCAAATTCAGGAGAAGTGTGTGAAAAAAACAATTGAAAAGATTTGCCACAATTGCAAGAAATCGAGGGTATTATTCTAGTAAAGAGAAAATCAAGAACCAGCATGCAAAGAAAGTAGTGTTCGACAGCCCGGGGCTAGTGGATTTTGTTATCGGGCTAGTTAATTCTGTTTTTAACTTGCCCGACGGGCAAGTGATGTTTTTTTGAGGAATTCGAATAACAGAAGAACTGTGAAATCAATTCTGCTCGTCAAAAAGCTTTTGGGGCTAGCGGAAATGACGTTTGGGCTAGTAACTGTAAAAATGATTTTCTTTGCACGCTGACAACATTTCATCTTAAAGACGATAATTATGGGTGAAAAGGATTATTGTTACTGCTTTGGATGCAGTAGATGTTGTCACAGCGAATAAAATGTAGCAAATTTTTTGTTCAAACTTGATCTGTAATTTTTGCATGACAATTAATTCATTTGTCTTATTTTGATAGAATAAACAAACACGGCTGCAATTGCTTGTATTGGCAAATTTTATCATTTGTTTTCCCTCTGAAATGCTAGGCAACATTGCTTTTATCCCATCGATCCTAAAATGTGTGTAAAGATGGCGGGTATCATGATTAAGGTTCATCATCATTAATTTTGTTCTTACGTCGGCCCCAAACCTTACTGTGATGGTTGTGCAGTTGAAGAAGGCTGTTCTTTCCTTTGTCTGTCATTTGAATTTCCAGCATCAGGCGATCTCATGTTCACCGGTAATGAAGGACTATCGGGAAACTCTGCATCACTATCAACCTTTTCTTCAACCTACAATGTAAGACACAAGAAAAAACTGTGAAAGGTTTGAACCCAGAAGTCATTTCATAAGTAGGGTAAACTGTAACGATAGTTGGATTGAAATGCACCAATGGCATTTGGAGTGTTCATAGCCAAAAACATCATGAATTAACTGACAGATGACCAATAACATCATGACTTAATTGACCAATCATGTCAATAACCAGAGTTAAATACCATCAACTGGCGTGATACAACACACTTTGACTCTGAAGATGACTACTGCACTTGTCAAAACATCAGTCACTGTCAACAACAGTCCTATTCAGGACCACCTTCACGAAGATGATCATGCTCAACCTACTTATGGCACAACAAAAAGTTGCACAGTATATCTTTTGTGGGGTGAGAATTAATTCCGAAAAAAAATATCAGTCTGCTAATTAAAGACCTTATTGTCAGAGATTCCTTGATCTTCAGGGGGAGTGGAAAACAGTTCTGGAGATGCTGAGTCTTCTCGCTGATCACTCTCATTACCTACAGCTAAAACAAAGCAGGCAAGATTATTATTTCTCAGTTTGTTCCACTACAACTTTCATTACGTTTCTGCTGGGCCATGCTGAAATGAAAGCTTCTTGTACCAAAGAGTATGTACTGCTGAAGCAACATGTTTATTGACATAACATAACTCCACGAACCTGTTTTGTTTCTTTTGTTTTGGTTCTTCAAACTACTTGAGTTCAGTGGTTCAATTTCTACTTGAAGATCCATCTACAAACCAAATCAAAGGGGTGCATGAGTCACAGGATGCTTATATTACCACATGGTTCTGTAACATGAATCAACTGAAGAGCTGCATAGAATGGGGCCCAAGTGACTCTATCTAATATGACACTCTCTTTTCAACATAAAAGCATATACAAGGCAAATTGAAAGGAGAAGTATTAGGCATACCACCCTCAAATATTTATAGGAGCATACTACATAATTATGTTACAGGTCAATATTAAATTAAGGTTAAATGTTTTAACCTAGGTTGATTCTCAATTCCCTTTGTCTCCTAACGCTGCTAATTCTTAAAATTAGGGCTAGAAGAAAACAGAATTGAGAATCAACCTTTAGCTTAAAAGAATACAACCTGAATTAAATTTTGACCATAACATATATACCGGTATACATTTAGACGAATACCTATAGGAGTAAACTAGGAGACACCAACATGGTCAAGATTTTTGGACTTTTGATCGACAAACAAAGCATTCAAAATGCAAGTCACTTATTACAACAGGTTATGACATTACCACAAAGAACAGCATCATTAATTTTGCAGATTATGTTCGCAACAGAAATGAGAAAATACCTTCCATGAGACAGTTTTTTCAGTGACAGGCTTGTCTGTCCCTAGATGGGCTCCTAGCCATGGAGGGGCGCAATGTCATGGAGAGGGGTTGTATGACACTAGTGACCAAGAAACGCATCTCCCAAGACAAATATATAGTGAAATAAAAAGTTCTAGACATCAACGTATAGCAAGCAAACAAAAACCATTTACCACATCTTGCAAAGTGCCACACATTTTCCTTCTCTCCTCCTGTTTTTCTGCCTCAAGCTTGCTTAGCTTTATCACTTGCTGTTGAAACAAAAATACATGGTTACTTGCACTCCATTACTATAACAAGTATAAATACAAAGAAGATTATACAAAAAAAAGCCTGAAAAAAATTCAGGCATGCCAGGATTTGACCCCTGACCTCTACGAGACTGCTGAGGCACTCTAACCTACTGAGCTGGCAAGCCACCTGGGAGCTGCTCATTAAATTGGGTCATAATATAACCAGGAAAAGTAAAGAAGGAATGATACATTTTAACTAAATTTTTTCTTGATAGTTTCCAAAAAACTAATCTGGTTGAAACCTATAAAAAATTTATTAATAATTTAAATGTTGATGACATATTCCTGAGTTTCATATGTTATGAAATAAATGCGAAGATCATTAAGTACCAGCCTGAAGGGTAACTTGTCTCCATTGCAGACTGCATCTCACCTTGTACATGTAGATGAAATTCTACTGAGCATTTTTGGGCTAAAAGCTGCAGTCAGAATAACTTAAGGTACAAATTCTTTGGAGTCAAGAACAAATTTGTGGTATAGACTAGGCCAAATGTAATGTATTTGCCAACCCAGATTACTATTTCTTATTAATTTCACAATTAAAATAAAAAAGAAGAACTGGAAACACAATAACATGCCCTTAATGCTTACCTGTAACTGCTCCCACTCTTCATTGATTTCTTCATCACCTGCATTCAATAACATTGCAGCAAATACATTTTAATTAAATTTTTTCTTGATAGTTTTCAAAAAACTAATCTGGTTGAAACCGATAAAAAATTTATTAATAATTTAAATGTTGATGACGTATTCCTGACTTACCAGAAAACTTCACTTCCTGAGCAGCTTCCCTTTTCTGTCTCCTAATTCTGAATCTAGATGTCCTATCACTACATCCAGTGTCACTGGAACTTTGCTGGATTATAAGAACAACAAACATAGTTATATAATAATATAGGCTTTTCCTTTTGGTCAGCACTTTTTAACATCTGCTGAAAGACCCTTGGACACCTCTTGAAGTTTACACAACATAGTATTCCTTATCGTTTTGGATTAGCCAGTTAAGCACTGCGTTTTACAGATTAGGGTTAAGCACTGCCTTTACTAATTATACACATCAATTTTTTTTCTTTTAAATTAAAGAGACTTGCACTTTCATATATGATTTCCAGCTTGAAATATCCTCTAAGTGTGATATGAAAGCAAAAAAGAGTTCTACCTTGTGTAAAAATCATAACAGGAGAAAGGGCATTTTGCAGATGTTAACAAGTGCTGACCTTTCCTTTTCCAATGTTGGGTAACCACAGGTAGCCCAGACATACTGTATGTCAATACCGGTAAGAATACATTTTGGAATTATAGATCAACAAAAGAGGATCAGAGCCTGAGAGTCGGTACAAATCTACAGACAAAGATATAATGGAAAATGTTATTTCCGATGAATGAGCCTGCGAAGAAGGCAGAAACAAATATTTTGACGGCAGGAGATACAACAGGGCCTGGGTACTAGGCCAGGGGCACCACGGGTAGCCACACCGGGGGTATATAAAGCTGCGTATATCACTTCAATGTCATCTAGGCTTCTGAACCAACTGCTCTTTGATTTTTCTTAATTTTCTGTTTTATTTTAGGAGCAGACTATTCTTGATTACATTATAAAGTCCCATAACAAGGACTTTGTGCTTGAGACCTGGTTCCTGCCCAAATTTCCTGCCCGCATTTTTTCCCTTCGGGGTTTTTTTGGGCAGGTTTTTTTCTAGTCTCTGTCTGACCGAATTTATTTCAGTTGTAAGAAGTAGCTCAGCTCCGCTAGTTTGCAGCTTTTTTTCCTGTTTCTTAGCCTGTGTTGTATACATCTATGGCATCAAAGTTGTGCACCTGCTCCTTCAGTTAATATATTTAGTTTCTATGTACCATATTTCCTCAAATAATAGCCATCCCTTGATTATTCCCCTCTCTCTAATAATTGCCCCCTTCAGACGGAAGTACCCGAAATAATCATCCCCCCACCCACCCCTCTTACCATCTTCTCTGCCTTTTATCCCCTGCCTGTCAAGTTGAAGAGGAGTCTGTTCCAGCAAAATTGATCAGTGACAATAATTATTCAAGCTCTGACGCTGAGGATATTGACATTGGAAACTATTCAAGGAACCAAATTAGGACTTCAAAAGTCCACGTTCAGTTTATTATTCTGATATGGTCATTTTTTGATTTAATGAGATAATGAAACAAAATATTTAGGGCACGACTTCCAGTAAGCAGCATTTGAAATAATTGCTTCCCTCGAATTATCACCCCCCTTTTGGGCAAAAAAATAATGATCGCCCCTGGCTATTATTTGAGGAAATATGGTATGCTTAGGTCAGCTGTCCCAGAGCTGCACTTTAGATGGCGACAAAAGTCTAGTTTGATGCAGTTGGATTGGCAACGTTACAGACCTCTAACCAGGGTCGTTAGCCACCTGTTTACCCTAAATGTTGTACTCTAGCCTTTTCTGGCAGCCTAACTGGCAATTCGCCTACAAGCCTTGTTGGCAGGGTTTGAGTCAGGCTGCGCCATTGCGCCAATCCCGCACTGCAATTGGAATTGTCCCTTTAAAAAACGGCCAAGGGGACAATTTGTCCCCTTCAAAATTTAGGGAAAAAACTCGAGAGGAAGCACATACGAAGAGATTTATTTCAGTACAGAAATTGCAAGCAGAAACAGTTCACCCCAAAGTTACTTTTCAGTCACGTTCTACTGCTATTTTTGTCGGAAATCTAAGACAGGGCTTCTCATTCTTCGCGCGGTCGCGGAGCCGCGACATTCGGTAGAAATCTTATCAAATACATGTCTGTACAACATATTTGAAACTTATTTCAGCTATTGGGGCTATTTACTTGCCGTAAACTTGCAAATTTATCTTGGAACGTGCAAACAGATTATGTTGCGAAAAACTGGACACTAGCCATGATGTTAAAGGCGTTGCCATTGGTCCATTTCTGGAGCGTATTATTGTTGAAAGAGCAAATGATGACCTCTGTTAGAAAAACGTTAAAAAGGCTGGTCTGATCAGCGCAAAACCGATCGATTTCTAGCGAAGTTTGCCTTGAAAATAACCACAAAATCGGCCGCTTTTTTACCGATTGCTTTTCGGTGAAGTTTGCCCCGAAAACTCCCGCAAAATCAGCCGATTTTCCCGTGAATTTGTCCCTAAAAATCCCGCGAAATTTGACTTTTTCTTCCGAGACCTATCAGAAGCCCTGCTAAGAAGACAAACCCCTTTGCATCAGCAGAAGGGTGTACAAATTTCTGTCCCCCTAAAAATGAAAATGTCCCCCAAAATTTTAGCCAAGGGGACAAATTGTCCCTTAGTGATCAAATCCTAGCTCAAACCCTGTTGTTGGGTATATTAGTGAAGATAATTCCCAGTTTTTTTGGTGCTTAGCCTCTGTCCTTCTACAGTGTTCCCTGTCCTGGTTATCCATTGGTCAGAATTTTATATTTCCCCAGCCTAACTGGCGGCCTAACTGGCACTAAGGCTGCGTGCTTAATTGGGGTTACAGGTTGAGATCGACCAGTTGTAGCAGTTTTTTCTTTTAGCGAAAGCAAGTGTATGAGTGTTGTACATTAGTCATTTACCTATTGCTGTAATTACATATGTACTTTGCAGGGTTGGTTCTCACAAAGCTGTCCCAAAATAAACTTATTTTCCTTTACATTTTGTCTGTTATATGAAATACAGTACGTCTGGGCTGGTAATGTGTAATTGCACTTAACAAGATTTGCTCTTTCTTTCCAGCTCTGCAAAAGACCGTTCCAGTAGCCATTTTTAATGTTGTGTGCAAATCATTATCCAAAGATTTAGCGAAGGATTAGAATTTCTGGTGTTCGCTCAGGTGTGACCTCATAAAAAGAACTTGCAATATTTTTATGTCAACTGGATACCCATATAAGAAATAAATCAAACATAGTAATCATGGGCAATGTATCAATCAAATGAAAAATACGATCCTGGCAGTCATTCATTCAATTTCACTCAGCTTTTAATATACTGCAGAACTGAGAAGGAACCTGAATCGAAAAATTGCACACTTGGACATACGTGATCAAGCCTTATTCTTTTCTGATCAATTGCTCAACATATATTTAACAAATTTAACTTTATATTGACCACTCATTTATTTTGACGCTAACCTGTTTTATTTCTGTCACTTCATCGTCCTCATCGTCGCTGATTTCAACTCGGCTTCTCTGTGCTCCTCCAGAACGGATGAAATTACCCTGGATCCATTGACCCTCACGATTTCGACTCATCTTCTCAAAATATCACCGCTTGAAACAGAATAACGACGAAAACTCTATGACAATGACGCATTTCCAGGCATAAGTCCAGAAGAAGACTGCTCTGTCAAAATGAAAGCAGTGTTCCCTCGCAAAATCCAAAATGGCGCGCCGATGTGTAAAAGAGAGAAACTGGGTACTACTAGTTGTGTGCCGCGCCTGCTAGAAACGTCGAGAAGATCTGGGCACAAAAGAGGAGAGGAGACAAATCGATAAGGGAAATGTTTAAAAAGACTCTTTGGAAAAGATGGTATAAAATATTTATTACGAGATCGAGAAATCTGGGACTAATTTTCGTTTACAATGGAAATCTTTGCAAGTAAGTTGCTTCTGGCTTATTTGGAAACTCACATCAAAATAATATAGTCGGTAGCTAGTACCCATGAACTTAACTGTCTTCTTGTGCTTTCCTTTTGCATAACAACTCCTATTGTTATATTCCTAGACTTTCACTCAACTAAACAGGGACTGCCATTGGTTGATTCTTGGTCACGTGGCCTTGACTAAAATCAAATGTATCCCGATCGTGATACATTAAACAATGTATCCCGCTCGGGATACATTGCAGCACGTGATCAAAGCATGGTGGAAAGTGGTGTGACAGAAGGCGGGAAAACAAAACTAACTGTTTCCCTCGGGATCTTACATTAAGTGTATAATAATATGATTTTATTGTATTTCATTTTTTCAGATACAACTTCCAGAAAGCTTTAGATTCCTTTCTTTATGGTAAACCACAGGGAACAAGACAAATACCATTTATGGTCAGCTATTTCATAATCTTGATTTTCAAATAACCTGTATTTTTTTGGAAACCATTGTTTTAAACATGTTATATCAATATTTGAAAGTTACACTTCAGTGATGACGATGATGACCATGATGATGATAATAATTGAAACTAATTTACTTTAGCACCTGAGAATACCCAGGATTAAACTGCATGTTGCAACACAATTTGCAGAAATTCACACTGCTTTTAGCTAATATCCTGCAAAAAGGTGCCTTCTGTCATAGGTCATTGACTTGATGGAGAGCACACAGAGGACAAGAACCCCAGTATCAACGTTTACCGTGTCTTAGTTTCGCTTTTTTGCCAAATAGGCCTTTTGCAGTAGTTGATCATGTGATCAACTTTTGGTAAACACGAAAACAGTTTAGTTTTGAAAAATTTTTGTTAGGACAAGCTGAAAGAGCATCTTAAAATTAGGTAACCTGTAAATTTTCAGCCGTATATCTCAAAAGTAGCGATTGCTATGGCCGCCGAAAATTAGAAGGATTTGTATGAGGACAACAACTTTTGCCACCCAGTCACACTTGAATCGTTTTCCGTACAAATCCCTGTAAATTTCAAAATTTTCAAACTGTCTGAAATATTTCCTTAAGCATTACGGGGCTCAAATCTCCTTTTAACTCGTAACAGGCACTTTAAGCCCTTAAATGCGCAAGGAAAAGATTTAGTTTGAAAATGCTGTTAAACTCATCAACAACAGATGAGGTTGATTATAGGTGCCCTAGAGAATGGCGGTGCCAGGCATTATAAATGTTTTAAAATTTTTTTTGTTCTCTTTTTGCAGATCACCAGACAGATGAAAAAATCACTTTCCACTTTAGGTTACACTGAGCAGGACGTTAATCAAATGTCGCCCAGTGAAGCTCATGATGTAGTTGATCGTGGTGTAAAAAAGACTGCAAAATTACATCCAGGTTCCAAGGACTAGTTTTAAGTTGCAGGTCATTATGCATGCAGGACTTCAGGATGGAAGACGGGCCTTGAAGGGATTGGAGAGAAACTAGACTTTTAAATTATCAAACCCCTTATAAGTAATCACCGAAAATATGAAGATTTAGTGGTCACTTATGAAGTGCTGTCAACTCTCCTGGATAATCGAGGAGACTCCAGATTTTGGACCATTATCTTCCCGTCTTCAGATTAGAGAATGAAATCTCCCGGATAATCATCAAAGTATGCCATTTCTTCAGTAAACTCGACTTTCCTACAATAAAATTTCAACTATTTCATGTTGTTTGAGCTATTTTAATGTTAACATCGAACATTTCCTCATCAACTTCGGTATGCCATTGTTATGTAATAATCTGATTGGTTTGCGCACCTTTTGTGTCACTGCCAATTGGGTGACAATCAGAGTCAATGAGTATTCTTTTGCACAAATGATGTCATTTATCATCCCTTTCCTATCAATTCTCAATATTTGAAGAAGCAGGGGGTTGACAGCCCTGCTTACGGGAGGCAGTTGCTTAAGAGAATCGAACCACAGGGGGTCCCTTCCTAGAAGAGGTCTGACACATCTAGATGTTGGAAGAATTCATAACATGCAATTTCTAAGATAGGATATGTGTAGTTGTATGTTTTCATTAAAAGTGCATTGCATTCTCTTAGTAGTGTGGTTACATACAAAAAACATGGAGATCAAACCATGCTTTAACTGGTCGCTTACAGGAAGATAAAAACAATGGAAATTCTAAAGCTGTGATCCAAAAAATTGGTGGTGGTCACTTTTTATAGGAGTGGTGGTCATTTGCTAGGAGTTCACGCTGTTAGGTTTTGAGTGAGTAAAATTGTGGTGTTTTGAAAGGTGATTTAAAATTAGAACAGTAAACTGATCTTTACAGCAGGAAGAGTGATAGGAAAAGTAAAGAAAGAAAACAAAAATAAAATGGTAAATTATATTATTATTATTATTTTTGTTTTCTTTCTTTATTTTTTCCTATCACTCTTCCTGCCGTAAGGATCTACTGTTCTAACTTTAAAATTTGGTTATTCAAGATGTTACTGATCTATTTCTACTAAAGATCTGGCTGACCCTCACTGGTTTGTTATTGTGGCTTTGCCTTGACAAGTGTTTATGATAGGTGGTTGCCTAAAGGAGGTGGTCGCATGTGGAGGTTTTACCATATAAGAGATGCCTTCTGTAGACCCAAACTAGAATGGCTACAGTAGTATACCAAGCACCAAGTTAGCCTCCCACGCAAACGTTCATTTGGCTCGTCATGCAATTCTCCCGAAGGAGGAAAGGCCAGAACACATGACGAAGCCCTAGGGACATCTGCGTGGGAGGCTATACGCCAAGTGTATCTAAATTTCTTTTGATTGAATTTGAACATGACATTTTAATCCAAGAAACTTGATCTTGAAAACTGGTTGTCTTGATGGCAACAAGACCACAGGTCTCCAAAACCTAGCCCATACGTGCCTCGATACGTAAAAACCTCTATCGCACATCCGTAGCTTGTTCCAGGCTCTCGGTCAGTGTAGACGAGCGAAAAAAGCGAGTAAGAAGCGAAAAAAGTACGCGAGCAGCGATAAAAGGGGAGAGCAAAAACGGATACCTATTCCTCACGCGCTTTTTTTTCTATCCGCCGTCCCGACTATCCTCTGGTATCTTGGAGACTTGGAGCCTGGAACAGACTACTGTATCCGTAAATAATCGAGGCCATTTATTTATTTCAATAAGATAATGTAATATTGTCCAATGATGATCTCTTGATTTCAGTCATTGTTTTCACGTGATTTTGCGAAAAGGACATCCATCAATAGCTCATTCTCTCTTGATTCCATACATGCTTTTGTCAAAAGTTTTTATCAAAGAACAACAAGTCAGCGCGAATAGTTGTCTTTTTTTTGGTAATTTTGTTTGTAATTTAGGGACGTAGTGGCTCTTTAGCGACTTTTTCCTTGGTATTTTGTCTTCCTCTTTGTATATTAAAGGCCTTTTGAACATTTACAGTGAACCCCGCTCTTAGACACCCGCTTAATATGACGGACAGTTTCGTTTGTCCCGACGAAAAGCTGATACGGCATTTTCTCTAAAATCAACCGCTTTATACGGAAACCGGTTGATACGAAAAACGCACACTTTTCTGTGTCTTGAATCACAAACTCTGATATATCGTCGACCCCGCTTCATGGAGACTACTGGTTGCCTGTGCAGTATCAGTAGTATCTATTTTCCTTGTCAAAATTATGTACTTTATAGGGCCATTTATACCAGGAAAAACAAGACGCGTCTTTCATTAGACACGACCTAAATAAGACGCAAACTATCAAAGAACAGGTGTTAGGGGCTGTCCTTAGATAAAACGCGTCTTAGCGAAACCTTCCGTTTATATGGGACAGTTTGACTCTTATTTAGGCCGTGTCCTATGTAAGACACGTCTTATGTTTCCTCGTTTTAACGTCCCTATTGTAGACAGTGAAATTGATGACGGATTACTATGAGTTAATACCGTTTTATTACTACAAAACAGTGGCAAAATAGTGTAACATGTTTGACGTCCGTCTTTCTTCAGGTTTCTTCCTGTGTTTGACCCGTACGCGAGTCGTAATGTCAATTAATCATGAGTCCGTGACGTTTTGTTTCTAAAAGCCTTCTTTATACGGACACCCGGATAACAAGGATACTATATCATGTCCCCACCGGGATCCAGTGTTTTGCCCTTACTATACTTCTTTCAGAATTTAATACCCGGATATCATTTTTTTAACTGATCCTTTTGTCCGGCATCCAATGATCGCGATGTCTTTGAATGTGATGGAGGCGGGGATCTAAGCGTCCTTTGGGTGCTCTTTTGTGGTTCACTTGCAGTCCGCCTTTTCAGTTATAAATGTCCACAAAACACTTTCTTCTATCGCTTTATTGACCGAAGAACTGTGTCGAAAAATAACTATTACTAGAAGTAATCACTGATTACGGATCCGCGTTCGTCACCCACGGAAACGAAATCGAGTCGAAAGGAGTCCAGTTTCTGGGACGAAGCCGTGTTTCAAAGGCCTTTTCTGCATTTTCTTGGTACATAGTTTTAACTAACTAATTTCTCCGTGTCACGAACAAGAAGATAATATACTTTACGCAGTGTTTAATCGGTTTATTTTACCACACACAGCGCGCCCGGCAAATTTTTGCAAAGTCCCTGTTTACGGACGTAATCGTAAAGTGAACTTCTAAATGAATGGCATATCTTGCCATTTTCTTTTTTAATTATACACTCCTTACTGAGGCTGAATTCCTTGGACCTTGCTGCGATCAACAAAAACATTTCTTTCTCACTCGTAAATTTCTTGTGGTGAAAAAGAAAAATATGGAGTCTTGTCGTACAATTTTTAAGGATGCCCGTATGGTTTTAAACGAGGAAAAAGATCAGTTTCGTGTGAGGGACCTGAAACCATTACAAAAGGTATAAGGAGTGAATGAATTTTTTCCGTTGATTTTTCCCTTGCATTGATGAATTATTTTTTTAGGCCAATGCAGGAATTTTTTAACGGGCTTCAACCCAATTTTCCCTGGCACGAAAAGATTTTAATTTGTTTTGTACTTCGCCTCCCACCATGCCCCACTAATTTTCTAATGGCCCGTCCCTAAAAACCGATACTCGCAAAGTTTGCGATATTTAGGGCGTAAGACAACAGCTTAACAAACGTCATTTGTCAAGATAATCTAGTTTTTGGATGTTCGCTTCCGATCTTGTGTGCTTACCAAATCATATGCACGCAAAAGATTTTAGATAAGGAATATGTACTTTCTCCCTGAGTCGAACACTGGCCAAGGTTTTATCACTTTTGCAGCTTAATTACAAATCGCTTGACCTCTGTTACTGTTGAAGTGAGAGCTTGGTAGTCATTGACGATTGCGTGTTGTCGTCGAAATCATTACAAATGCGTAGCAGGTTGCGGTATAATAAGTTAATCTTAGTTAGCACACCCGCTTTGATAAGAAATTTAATGAGAATTTTTAAAAACGCTGACTACCGCCTCAACGAGAACTTGTTCCCTAGCTACAACATATGTTGCACTGCTCTCAAAGGGCTTCTTCTTGTTACAAGACTGTGAAATGGTTTAACCTAGTGGTATTTTCAGTACCTTTCCAGTAACGCTAAGTGTGAGAAAATCTTCCCTGCAAGTATTTTAAGACGTTGCATCGATTTTTTTAAAGTGCAAATTTAAAGCAGAATTCTGCGTTCACTGGAGATTTAACGATTTGGCACCATTTAGGATTATCGAAAACAACACTTGTTTTTCTTATGTTTTTTTAACTGTGCCGAATGTTCATCTTACTCAAATACCGGATTTTCGCCGCCCCAATTGAAGACGGAAAGATTACACTGTAACACATTGTAATTTTAGAGACAAAATTGGCAGAAAAAACATTGCAGATTTCATTGCTATAAATTTCAAACCATGCATCAGCGGTTAATGAAAAAGATCGTCAAAATCTGACTTATATAGGCACGAACATCCTTCTCCATCCTAATCCATCTCATTCGTCGAGCAACAAAATAAAACTGTGTTTTAACTACCTTTTGTACGTAACAACAAAACTAAAATCTGCCACGGGGAGTTCTTTATTACCATTGCGAAGGTCGAACTCATATAAAAGCGATTCGGTCTAATTCTGCAAACAGGTAATTAATCATTCATGGTCAGCCTACAAGAGAATTAATCGTGGCTGTTTTGTCGTTTTGGGTTTCTTTATTTTGGACAGAAAACAAGTACATTTGTATACATCAGCTTTCTTTCAATTTAGCCATGGTTTGGAAACACACTTTCTGACTGTAAAACTGTCACAATGTGACCCCAATCTCTTCTGTAGTGTTCATCTTAAGAGGACCTTGTACATTGTGGGTTGTTTTTTAGATAACACTACCACTTGAATTTCATACATATTTTTTCAGGTTTCAAACACTTGCTGGTGAACAAAAGGAG